TGTGTTCTTCCAGCTCTACACCTTGTTATCTCATGAAATGCTAGTAATCTTTTTGGGTGAGTAATCCAATGGCCCAGGTTAATGTTCAGGGACGTGAGTTTGAATCCCACAAAGACAAAAGGTGGAATTTGAAATTTGAATAAAATCTGGACCTAAAAGCTAATTTAACAATGACCATGTAACCATTTTCAATTGTTGCTAAATCCCATCTTGTTCACTACCGTACTTTAGGGAAGGAAATCTGCCATTCTTGCATAGTCTGACCTACGTGTGACTCTGACCCACAGCAATGTGGTTGACTCTTTAACTGTCCTCTGAAATGTCCTAGCAAGTTACTTAATTCAAGTGAAATCAGCAATGGACAGCAAATACCAGCCTTGCCCGTGACACTCACATCAAATGGAAATATAAGAGAAACCATGAAATGCACCTTGTTACAAATATGTACAGAAATAATCACAAAGGCATAGATACAGCCACTTGAATTTATATTCTGTCTAGAGAACAATAAAACGTGCTAAGATGTTTCACTGAAGTATTATCAGACAAAACTTTTACACTCAGCCACAAAAAGGGGTTAGTAAAACAAGTCAGAGGTTTTGAGAACTTTTTTTCTAAGTGCAGAGAGAAGTAGAGACAAGGAGGGCTTTATCTTTGTAGCCAAGAGGAGGCAGAGAAACAAAGAGGCTTTGTCTGTTAGCTGCAAGGGTCTTGATTGAAATATGTTCAGGCAGTGTCAGGTCAGTTTCATGTAGATATGGACTCTCAATGCAAAATAGCCAATAATTGCAGTAAATTATGTCATGTTAAATAGGAATCCATAAGATGGCTGAAACGGGAAATATATGATGTCTTGCCAACTGATGCTTCCTGAGGGCTGATTGCTCAGGCACATGTTTGGAATAGAACAGAGCAAGAGGGTATCTCAGTCTTTGTGCTATACTTGAACTTGTATTAATTAGAGCTGACACTGGATGTGTTTTTCCCTCTTTTGCAGCAATCTGTGGGAGTTATTCAGTCAGTCATGCCAACAACAAGGAAGAAGGAGGATGAGGTATCTGTTGGCAGTACGCCATTGGCAATGCAGCAATCAAATCAGGCCTCTGAATATGCTAGCAGCCCTGTCAAAACGAAAACGGCGACAGGTAGGTTGTTTACACTTCAGTTAGTACTTCACAAGTGATGTGATCGACTGCAAGAAGATGTTATTTGACAATACTTGCAGCAAAGTCAATCAAGGCCATAAGAAAATAGATTCACAGGTATCAAATTAAAAGAAATGCATGGAATTTTGAACTAAAGTTGATCAATTTTGTCAGGGAGAATGAAGTGTAACAGTAGAGCATGATTGTAAACAAAAACTAAGTTTTAGACATCTAATTAGCAATTAACACAAATGTGTTTCAAAGTGACTTGAGCAATCACTTTCTGATAGTCCTAGTTGAAAGTCGACAGCATATACTGTCTTCTCCTTATTCCCTAACCTTAATCTATGAATGTATTAAATTAAAGTGGTCAGCTGATACTCCTGAATAAATATTTAAGATGTTGCGAAAGATTTTTCCACTTCCACCAATGAGAATACTATGGTGTAATACAACCTATAGAGCAATGAAAAGGACAAATAAATTGCTGCTTGTACAGCTGCTGTCACATAATCTTCATATTTATAAGATTCTAAAATTTTCAATTGAATTTCCAATTTTTCTCTCTTTTTCACAAACTGTGTCAAAATTTCCATTTCTCATCTGGGTGATTTATTATATGTTTATGTGACGAATGCAGGCACTTCATGGCTAAGTAAGTGCTAGTTCTCTCACTGGCTTCTATCAGTCAGTACCCAGCATGTGAAGTCACACGTTAACTTTTGATATGGCTGAAAAAGCACTTTTTAAAAGAATTGGTGCACGTGTTATACATAATATTGGAGCATTATATATTAGATAAATTCTCCACATGTATAGAGTGGATAATTTGTTTTTTTTAAAATGTGTTTGATTTTCATTTCTCCACCTGTGGTGGAAAGGGCAAAAGAAATAGGAGGGAAAATCCATGAAATTGAAAGGGCTCCCTCAATAATCTTTGGCTTTAGAAATTCTCAATGTTTTGTGATTATTTTTTATTTAAACTGTAACCACAGGAGGAATTATTCGTTTGTGAGGCACAATTGCCTCCTTCTGTGCTGTAACCATTCTACGTGCCTCATTTCGAAACACACTTGGTTTGCACCTAACATAGGACATGACAGCATGGAAATTAGCTATGTCCTCCTAATCCAATTTTCCTTCTTTTTAAATGAAATGTTCTGTTTTTCTTTGGACTCTCTATCTAATTTGACTTTATTGGTGAGATTGACTCTTCAGTGTTTACTTATAGTAATATCTCTTATGTGCTCATAACCCTTAGTGTGAAAATGATTCTTCTGAGCTGTCTCTTTGTCAGTGATTTATAGACCAGTGGAAACAACATTATACTATTTATATTCTCAAACCATCCCAAAGGTTATTTCAAGCTGGATCCACCCAATGATCATAACAGGAAGCAGGTGGGGTTATGACATAAAAATAGAGTGCTGGAAATGCTTAGCAGGTCTGGCAGCATCTGTGGAGAGAGAAGCAGAGTTAATGTTTCAACTCAATGACCATTCATTAGTTTTGATGAAAAGTCATTGATAACAGTACTAGTTTGTTTTTCTCACTTCGCAGATGCTGCCAGGCCTGCTGACTAGTTTCATCATTTTCTGTTATTTGATGTTCAGCAACTGTATTGTTTTCTTCTGTATAGTTGTGGCATGTGACAGCTTGGCACGCATGATACTGTGGTTCGCACAATGAAATAACTGAACTGTGTTGTATAAGTTTCAAGCAACATCCTTAAAATGATAATATTAAAGTTGGGTCTAGTGTCATTTGGGCGCATGGAGAGAATGAGAAGCTCAGTGAACTTCAACATGTCATTAAAATGGTGGATAATTCAGAAATGGACTTGATGTACAACTGTTTTCTTAAAAGTGGCATTAATGATACAGAAAGGATAGACAGCATCTAAGCAATTAATGGGACTATACTTTGTGATTAGTGTGTGATGGGCCTAACAGGGATTCATGCAAAATAATTAAACCAACAGCAGACTGAAATGAATAACATATCTGCAGGATGAAAGAACAATTGGGGAGAAGGCAGAAATATAGTTAAACTCCAATTAAGTGGAGGAGTGATGCTCTTGATAAGCAAAAGTTTAATAACCATTAAAAGTGCTGCTATAACAGGATCAACTGAGTTCCCAGAAGCAGCCTCGATAGAAAATATTAATTAACTGAGTAATTTTTGGTAACTGACTCACTGTGAAAGAGCAGGGAATAAGATGTTTGTCCATTTACAGAAGCCTAGTACTGTGTTGGTTTGCAAATGGGTTTTCGATCGTTGAGAGAGCCAAGGCTTAAATAATGGCACTAATGTAGGAAAATGTCCCAAGGCGCTTCAAATCATTAAAACAGATTATCTGATCAGTTACATTATTTTCTTTCCGTTCAAGTCAAGAAAGGCATAATTGGCTGAAGTATTTAATGGTAGCTCAGTGTTTTGAGCCTCTGCCAAAGGTGAATATCACCCCCCAAAAGGCACTGTTTATCCAACAGAAATTAAGTTTTTTCTTACAGAAAGTGTGGACTCCTTATGGACATTCCTATTCATAATAAGCACAAAGAATGTTTTGAGAGGCTTCAAGTTTTAACAGCATGTCACATCAGTGTACATCTGCTCAGACACCAGCCACACTATTCATGACTTAATTGTTTATTTTCTTCTGCAGAATCCTCATGTAATTTTCTGCATCCGCCTACAAAACTCAGTCTGCCCCCTAATATAATGATATATTTAACACTGAAATTCATTAGTCCCTCATCCAGAGGTGGAAACCTCAAGCTCGGCATAGGTCTCTGAGCAACATGGCATTCTCAGTCCTTCGATCAGGGAATGCTTCCTTTGTTCACATGAAAGATCAGTGATTTAAAATTTGAGCTTGTTTTCTGTCTCCACAGATCCTGCCAGACCTGCTGAGCATTTTCAGCATTTTCTGTTTTTATTTTGGATTTCAGCAATAGTTTGCTTTTGTATTAATAGTTACTTCAACCCCTAATCTCCGTCCAATAATTTCACTGCCAGGGTTTCTGTTTTTAAAAAACAGCCTACCATTATTGGGCTTCAGCCCATTGTATTGATGTTTGCTGTTGTATTTTTGGAGCGTAAAATTTGTCCCTACCTCTTGTTGAGGGTGACTGGTACAAACTGTAGTTAGATTCCAGTAGCCACAATGATATGTCAAAGACCTGGGATGTTTCCTTACTTTCTGCTCATTGGAGTAGATAAAAGTTGTGGTAAGTGAGTTTTGGGTTCCATGGTGGGTGGGTGGGTGATTTGGATGACTTAGTGAAATGTGGAAAAGAACAAGTGAGAAGATGAGAATAATTTTTTACTGATTGCATTATAATCTAGAATACAAGGGTGTGGAAGCAGATTCAAACAGCTTTCAAAACACAGTTTACTTGTCGTTGGCAATGAGAAAAATGTAGGGTTTTACAATCCCAATAGAGACCACAAGATAGGATTTCCTAAACGGCCAATGCAAAGAAAACAGTTGGACAAAATTTCACTTGTTTATAAGTATGACTGTAACAGACCAACTAATATCAGCACAGTTCACATGCTAAGTAGCAGGCGAATGACATTTCAAATAAAAGGTAAATTTCCTGTTAAAAGACCCTGCTTGATTTACAACATATTCACTCCCACCACCACCAATTCACAGTGGCAGCATTATGTACTATATACCAGATGCATTGCAGCAACATGTCAAGTCCCCTTTGACAACCCCTTTCCAAACCTCATCTCCACTGCCTGACTTGGAAATACATCACTCTTTCTTAATTGTTGTGGGATCAAAATCCTGTTCCTAATTGCACTGTTGATGTACCTACACCCCAAGTTGGCAGCAATTCTGGAAGAGTTGGAACTTACATTCCAACCTTGTCAATGACAACCGTGTCTCATGAAAGAATACATTTTAATAAATGTTTATTCAGCGAACAGTAACTTCATCTAGTGACAAGTACCAGCATTAATTTCCACATAAATGGGGCATCACATGTAAACTCTGTCTTTCAAATTTGGCTTCAGGTATGTGGAATCCCTCACATCCCGCTCAATGGATTTGGTCCCAAGTTGCTTTCATCTGCAGTATAGTTTGTGGTAACAGTGGCCACCCAGACAGCGCACCCCAGCAGGACTTCCCTAGCTAGACTCAGTAGTCTTGCTGAATGCCCAGAGATGCCTTTCTGAGACCACTCTTAAAAGGTAGAAGCTAACTCCAGCAAAAATGAAACTGCATCAGTGAGGTTGTTGCCAAATCCAGAATCCCTGCTGTCTCTATCTTAAGCTTTCTGTCCTTCTTAAACTGTATTACATCTATAATTCCATGCTCCCCTTGCCTAGTTTTTTTGATCTGTCAATATCAATAAACTGAACTAGAGCAGCCATTAAAATACTGTACCTTCAAAAGTGGGTCAAAGGGTGGGAATTCTGCGACAACCATCTCATCTCCCTGAAACCTGTGCGTCGCGTCATCTGAAAGGTGAGAAGTATCATGGAATACTTCCCACTTGCCTGGGTGCCAATGAAAAACTCATTTTTCCAGTCAAACATAAATAGTACACTACATACTGCAGCCTGGAAAAGGTATAAAGATACCTTCACATTCAGTGCATTGTAAATTCCTACTGTGATTTTGAAGTTACATAAGGACTTCCCATGCTTTTAGGGTTTACCTTGCACCCAATTAATAGTTTATAAGATAAAGAAGGGACCTAAGGGGCAATTTTTTTCTTGCAGATGGTGGTGCATGTATAGGATGAGCTGTCAGAGGAAGCGGTGGAGACTGGTACAATTGTAACATTTAAATGGCATCCAGATGGATATATGAATAGAAAGGGTTTAGAGAGATATGGGACTAGATTTATATAGGATCTCTGGTCAGCATGGACGAGTTGGACGAAGGTTCTGTTTCCATGCTGTATATCTCTAAGATTGTATCACTCTATGAGCTTTGGATGTCCCACAGTGTTTTATGGCCAAGTGGGTACATTGAAGTG